TCTTGTGTATTGCCCCCCTCCCTAGCACCCAAACTATCCTGTGTCTATTCCCTACCTTCCCCTCCCTCCCCTCCCCCCACCCCCCACATCCCAGTAATCAACAACGAATCCTCCCCCTCCCTTTAGTATGGGTTCTTTTTCTTAGTCTTTTACAGTAGTGGTCCTATGCAGTATTTCTCCTGTTGTGACTGACTAATTTCACTCAACATAATGTCCTCAAGGTTATTCTTCAAGGTAGCATAATATTCCATTGTGTGTATGTACCACAGGTTGTTTATCCATTCTTCAGTTGATGGGCACTTTTGCTGCCTCCATCTTTTTGCTATTGTAAATAGTGCTGCTGTGAACATTGGTGTGCATATATCTACTCGTGTTATGGCTCATATTTCTTGTGGGTAAATACCAAGTAGAGGAATTGCTGAATCATAAGGTATTTCTATTTCCAACCTTCTGAGAAGGTGCCATATTGCTTTCCAGAGAAATTGGATCATTTTGCAACCCCACCAGCAATGCAGGAGCATCCCAACCTCTCCGCATCCTCGCCAGCATTTATTGTCCTCTACTTTTTTTATCTTTTCTGTTATTGTTTTATCTTTGCTGTTATTGCTGGTGTGAGATGATATCTCATTGTTTTGATTCCTTCCATCTTGTTGTTGATGCTTTCTGCATCATTCAGTATTTTGCACATAGAATCCTTCAGTATTACAACCTGAGACTTGATTTTTTTTCTTCAGTTCTTGTAGCTTGAGAAATGTTGCGTATGTTCTTTCCTTTTTGTTTTCTAACACCAGATGTTTACATATTTTATTATAATACTTTGCTTCATGTTTTCAAGCTTCCCTTTGAGATTTTCTGTTCAGTTCTTTTCTTTCAGTTGCTTTAGCTTCTCTACATTCAAAAGCAAGTTTCAGGATCTCTTCTGACATCCATATTAGTCTTTTCTTTCTGCCCTGTCTTTGTAATGACCTTTTGCTTTCTTCGTATATGGTATTCTTGATTTCATCAGTCTTATGCACTTGTTTTAATTTTCTTTAGCTTTAAGTTGAACATGGATCTGAGCAATTGATTGTTCCACTGGCCTTGTTCTGACTGATGATATCAAACTTCTCCATTGTAGTCTATTTGATTCCATCTGGTGCAGTCGCCATGTGGATAAGCACTGTACTGCTAACCACAGGTTCAACAGATCAGAACCCACTCACTGTTCCTTTGTGGTTGTAAGTCAGAATTTACAGGGTCATTATGAGGTGGAATTGATTCAGTGGCACTTAACAACAACAACGCTGTTGAAAAACTAGGTCATTGGTCCTACAAAATTATTTCATGCAATCTCTGCTGTCATTTCTGTCACCAAGACCTAGTTTTCAACTACTGATCCTTCCTCATTGTTTCCAGTTTTCATGATTCTAATCATCAATAATTATCACTGCATCTTAATTGTATGTTTGATCAATTTCAGACTGCAGAAATAGATAGAAATCATCAGTTTCAATTTTGGCATTCGTGATTGGTGCAAAGATTTGAATAATAGTTGTATTAACTTACCTTTCTTGTAGGCATGTGGATGTAATTTTCTCAACTGTACTTGAGTATATATTTTTAAATGATCTTTTTGACAGTGAATGCAATGCCACACCTCTTTAATGTGTAATTATCAGCATAGTGAACTATATGATTGTCTGATCCAAAATAGCTAATATCGGTCCGGTTTCAGCTCACTAATAATGCCTAACATGTTAATCTCCGTATGTTTTTTTCTTTTTTTGACAACTTCCAATTTTCCTACAGTTATACTACATTTCACAATCCAATTACTAATGGTTGTTTGCAGCTTTTGCTTCTCATTGTGAATTATGCCTTAGCAGCACGTGAAGGAAGATACCAAAAGCTTTGCCCATCCATGTCAGGAAGGCCAACTCTACCCTGAGTAGGCAGCTCTTCCCTGTTTATATTTTGAGTGCCTTCTAACCTGAGTAGTTCATCTTCTGGTACTATATCTGACAGAGTTCTGCTGTTATTCATAAGGTTTTCACTGGCAAATTTTTTTCAGAGATCAGTCTTCACTTCCTTCTTCCAGACTGTCTTAGTGTAGAAGCTCTGCTGAAACATGTCCACCATGGGTAACCCCAGTGGCATTTGAAATACTGATGGCACAACTTCCAGCACCACATAAGCCACCACAGTATGGAAGGCTGACAGACTAACCATGGGTAGATTTGTATGTATGTGTGCTCACACGCAGTATAAGTACATCTACACAAGGGAGCTTCAAAAAGTTTGTGGGGAAATGCCATGATCTGAATCGGGACACTGCACATCCTCACAAGCACTACTGTGTTTGCAGCCATTGTGGTAGCCATGCCTGAGGGCTGCTTCAGTTCCCTAGTCCTGCTGTAACAGAAACACCACAAGGGGATGGCTTCAACACACACAAATGTATCCTCTCACAACACCGGCTCTGGTTAAAGGTCCCTGTCTCCTTTCAGCATCTGTAGGCCCAGCATTTTCTTGGAGTTCTCCGTGTGTCTTGGCATCAATCTTCCCGTGGATCTGAGAGCTTCACAGAGCAGGGACCCCAGGTCCACAGGCCACATTCCACCCCTGGCTCTTCTTTCTTGGTGGTAGTAGCTTCCTGTTTCTCTGCTCACTCTTATCTTTTACCTCTTGTAAGATCAAAAGGGTTGCCAGACTCTTGGGAAATTCCCTTACGTTGGATCAGGGTTACAATAGGACTGAGGGTATTGCAGCCCACCCTTAATTCTCTTACTGGTTTTTCACATCAGATCCCATCATGGGGATCATCACTGAGAAATCATGCCCAGCCAAGTTGACACAAATGTTGTTAAGTAACGTCAAGTCGATTACGACTCACAGTGACTGTATATATGGTTTTCAAGGAACAGCTGGTGGGTTTGAACCACTGATCTTGTGGTTAGCAACCCAGCACTTATTCTACAGTGCCACATCAGAACTCCCGACACATATTTTGTGGGTACACAATTCATCTATGACTAGGGTCTTCTGCTTTTTTTTTGCTGACCCTCTACCAAGCAAATTGTCCTTCTCTAAGAACTGATACACTCCTAATAAGTCCAAAGTGTGTAAGACAAAGTCTCACTATCCTGACTTTAAGTAATCATTCTGGCTGCACTTCTTCTAAGACAGAGTTGTACGTTCTTCCGGAGGTCCATGATACATTTAATATTCTTTATTCATTGTCCAGCTTATGCATGCATGTGAGATGAATAAAGCTAGCCCACTGGTATTTCAAATTCTGGTAGGATCATCTATGATGGACAAGTTTCAGCAGAACTTCAAGAGTAAGACTAGGAAGGACCTGATAATCTTCTTCTAAAAAATACCACCAATGAAAACCTTATGAATACCAATGTAACATATATGTAAGGGAGTTTCAAAAAGTTCATGGAAAAATTCTGTTAATTTTTAATTCCTTTTTTTTTTTTCCTCAAAACTTTTTGAAGCTACATACCTTATATGGATATGTGAGGCAGTGTAGTATTGTGAAAGAGAATTGGCTTTTAGACTGTCAGTGGGGTCTAAGTTGGGCTGATATGATAGTGTACACCAGTTGTAGTCTTTTGATTCCATCTGGTGAGGCCCCCATGCAGAGGTGCCATGTAGCACTGTAGGGTAAGCACTGGACTGCTAACCATAAGGTCAACAGTTCAAACCACAAGTAGCTCTTAGAAACCCTATACTGAGCCTGACCCTGGAAGTCAAGTGATACTTCTCTTTTTGATGGATAACCAGTGTTTTGCTTTTCATAGAATCAGATAAGACTGTGTTTGTCTCTTTCCAGGCAGCCATTTGGCAGCTCTCCTGATGACTCGCTGTGTCCACATCCTGCATCAGAGTCCCCAAGTGATGAGGGGGCACTCCTGGATCAACTCTATTTGGCCTTGCGGAACTTCGATGGCCTGGAGGAGATTGATAGAGCTTTGGGAATACCCGAGCTGGTCAGCCAGGTGTGTGCAGTGGGGAAGCTAAGTGGGACAGGCATTCTCGCGGCACATGGGTCCGTTTCTCTCAGTTACAGTTGACAGTCTGCTGCTTCATGATGGATCGGCTGCTTGGTTTCTCCCTTTCTCCTTGCTGTGCTCCCATAAACTTCTGCCCAAGATTGGAAAACTCTGAAAATGGCCTTTGCATATAACGTGTGTTTATTGGGCTCCCAGCAAGGGCTAAAGGCAGAGCAGAGACACAAAGGCCAGAACTTTACTCCCCTGATGACCTAGAACTTTTTCACCTAGAAGCTCCCAGACTCGTCTGCAGTCGGAGAACACTGCTCATCTTAGTCATGGGGAAGTTGTGCCAAGGGTATGTGTTACACAGGGATCTGTGGCTAGTTAATCATTTTATATTTGTGTGTGTGTGTTGTTGTTATTATTATTATGTGCCGTCGAGTTGGTTCTGACTCACAGTGACCCTGCATAGGGTTTCTGAGGAGCAGCTGGTGAGTTTGAACTGCCGACCTTATTGTTCACACCGACCCAGTGCTTTATCCCACAGCACCACAGTAACTTTGAAGTATTTGAGCATAAATGGGATTATAACGTATAATTCTATAGATATCCTAACATAATCTTGGAATAACATAGTACTCTCTAAACCTGGCCATTATTAAAATGTACTTAAGTATACAGATAAGTATATGTGAAACAGTACATCCTTGTTTACTGTATAAAGAGAGACCTAGAAAAAAAACTGCCACCTGTCCCTGTTTGGGGAGCCTGATGGCTACACACAGTAAGCACTGGTCTGTGAGCCACAAGGTCTGTGGTTCGAGCACACCAGCTGCACCACAGAAAAAAGATGAGGCTTTCTGCTCCACTTGCAAAGATTTCAAGCCTCCAAAACCTATAACAGGGTTGCTGTTGAGTCAGAACTGACTCAGCGACACTTAACAGCAACAACCACCCCCATTTTTGCTGCCCTACTCTTTACTTGGCATGAATTGTTCTTCTTTCTTGTTACCAAGAAGTACCCTTTTTGAGCTACTTGGTCACGTGACTTGTCCTCGGAGTCTGGGAGAAGCTGATGCAGTATCATTGGCGGTCTCTCTGAAGCATTAAAAGTAGTCTTGTCAGAATTCCCACCATTTAGCAGACACAAGTGGGATTTGAGAACACCCGAATGGTAAGAAATGACTTGAGGTTACAGCCTGTAACCTGACATCAATCAAGAAAGGAAAATGAAGTTTAAGTCTTTCCTTTGTGGAAAGCTGGTTTGCTTTTTGGTTTCAGCATTAGTTACATTTAACATTCAGCATTATTATCCTTCAGGATATCAAAGTGACATTTAAAAATGCAGTCCATGGGGATGCTAAGTGACATTGTTTTTATCGAAACTGGTATCATTTTATCATTTAATATGCTTAGTCTCCTTTTTTCATTTATTTGTATTATTTTCTTTGGCCTCATCAAATTCATCACTATAATATTATTAAAATATGATTACTAAGGTAAAGTCAGAGGAAGTGTACTTCATCTGTACCCATCATAGTTGTATGAGGATGAATCAAAGTATTACTACTAGGATTCCAATTCATATATGTATGGGTTTATTTATTTTATTTTTTTTCAAAATGCTTTTGCAGTAAGTGAATGGGTGCTGACAGTTTCTCTCAGTAATACACTATCTTCATCTCATTAGGGTGCCTTCAAAAAAAAGGGGATACTTTTTGTGCCATGGGAGAAAAAAATGATTCTGATGTCTGGGCTAATATAAAAATTTTAACAAAATTTAAGTGGACATTTTCTCAAATCATTGAAGTTTTGCCACAAGTTCACAGTGATGCTCCCTCACATAGAGCAACAGATTTTAGATTGATCATCTTTTAAGGAAGGTGGGGAAGATCTCAAAGATGAGCCAAGAAAGGAAAGACCATAAAAACCTTATGTAATGAAGAAACTGGTTAAAGTCCAGAAACAGATGGAAGAAGAGCATAGAATTACCAGTGATGCAATAGCTACTGAATTTGGGATCTCACATGGTTTGACATTTTCAATTTTAAGTAAACATCTTGGCCTCAGCAAGCTTTCAGCTGGATGGGTGCCAAAAGCAGTGTGTGAAGATCAGCAAGCCCAAAGAACAGCTCTTCCCATCAATCTTTAAGCAACATCGAAGCTCATGAATTATGGAATGAGTCCTAACCAGTGACGAGTCTTGGATTTACCAGTACAATCCAGAGAGCAAGGTCCAGTGAATGCAGTGGTGTCTGAGACTATCTGTTGGGTCATTTCAGTTCAGAGTAGTGAGGTCAGCTCAGACGGTGATGGTGTAGTAAGTAAGGTGGATAATAAATTTCAAGTTTGTGTGTGAAAACAGCCTGATGTTTACATTGTTGTTTTCAGTGGTTTTATTTCTGTGCTATCTGGGGCTTTCTTTTTAGAGCCAAGCAGTGGATCCAGAACAGTTCTCAAGTCAGGATTCCAACATCATGATGGAGCAGAAGGCCCCTGTTTTCCCACAGCAGTATGCTTCTCAGGCACCAATGTCCCAGGGTAACTATCCCCCCATGCAAGATCCAAACTTTCATACCATGGGACAGCGATCTAGCTATGCCACGCTTCGCATGCAGCCCAGACCAGGCCTCAGGCCCACTGGCCTTGTGCAGAACCAACCAAATCAACTGCGACTTCAACTTCAGCATCGCCTCCAAGCACAGCAGGTACGTTCTGCAGTTGGCCCCAGGAAAACTAGGCTCGCTAAGGCTTCTGTGAGATGGCACGGCTGCCTTAGTCCATCCATTATTAGCAGGTAAAAACGTTCCCCGGTTATCATACTCAAAATTCTTTCCCCTCCACTAACTCACTCTAGCATAGAACAGCTATCCTTTTGTAACCTTGTTCTATTTACTTTCAAATTTTGAACTCTCTGAGCCTCAGTTTTCACATCTATAACATACAAGTTTTATGCAGATATAGGGATGTTGTTGTTAAGTGCCGTCGAGTTGGTGCCAACTCCAGTCAGTTCAAACCCTGTATGGGGTTTGCGAGGAGTGGCTGATGGGTTTGAACCACTGACCTTGTGGTTAGCAGTCCAATGCTTAGCCTACAGTAGCACCACACAAGGATCCAGATATGTTGTTCTTCAGTGCCGTTGAGTCAGTTTCATCTCATAGCAACTCTGCATAGGGTTTCTATTCGGAGAAATTGGTGGGTTTGAACTGCCGACCTTGTGGTTCGAAGTTTAGTGCTGATCCTACAGTGCCACATCAGAAGTCCATATCTGTCTTTATATCTGCATATCCATAGCCATCTCTATGTGTGTGTAGCTAGCTAGCTGGGTAGAGATGAGATAGGTGATACCCATAGAGAGATCTATATATTTAAAGGGCCCAGCATAGTGTCTGGTCCAAAGTGAGCACTCCAGAAAACTGCCGCCACTGCTCTTATCTTATCTGATGGCACAGAGAGTTACTGTTGGCTGAGTGCTAGCAAAGAGCTGCTGCCTTATGGAATATCTATTCAGCTCAGGGAAATGTGTGCCCTTTGAATCAGACTTGGACAGATTTCTGCAAAAAAAGTAAGTCATAATATTATAAGCTTTAAAATCTGGTCTCATTTTTATGAGTGATTAGTGCCTTTTCCCACTTTTCTTCGCCTTCGTTTCTGATCATTCTACCCCCTTTTTTTTTTTTAAGTTTTTATTATGAATTAAGTGATAGCTTACATGGGAGAACATTAGCTTTACATTCATCCTATCGTATTTCATTTCATTGTAATGATTATATTCTCCTCCATGCATCATCAAACAACCAAAGGGTACACCCCGCAAGCCTGTCCCCTGGCCACCAGCACACAGCCCTTTACCCTCCCTGAGTCCAAGGGTCCCCAGCTGCTCCATCTCTCCACGTCATTGTCTCTGCCTCCCTCTCTGGCATCACTGCTTCTCTGGGTAGGGTCCCACACTTCGCTCCTCTCCCTTAATGGTCCCAGGGACCTCCTCTCCTGAACTGAAAAATCAACCACTCCCCTCCTTTTGTTACAAAATGTCTACCTTTACATTTCCAACCCTCACATTCAGTCCTGATAGCAATGATTGACTCTATTGTACCACAAGAGTCTTATCCCCATCTCCTGTCATCAGCCCCATTCAGGCAGATTAGAAACCACTCAGTGGAGATTCTACCTTCCCCTGTAGCTAGTTACCCCCCTCTAGAACTAGCTCCCTCTTGAAAGCTTGTAAGCCATTCATTTCTTGCCCTTCTAGCCCCCTACCCCCTCTTATTTTCCAAACAATTCAAAATAACTTCTCAGTTCTAATCTAATAATAAGCTTTAAATAGGAATTGAGCTACCAACTGTGTACATTTACTATCTGCCAGCATGCAGAATAGAGGGCTAGGTACTTGGGAAAGGTGGTTTGAAATAAAATATACTCTGTTCACAAATGTATTGATTCCTCTGTGTGTATTTAGAACCGCCAGCCACTGATGAATCAAATCAGCAATGTTTCAAATGTGAACTTGACTCTGAGGCCTGGAGTACCAACACAGGTAAGGAAGCAGGAGCTGGGCAGCTTCAAATTTCAAGTGCTGTTTCTTGATTTAACCTCTCCTATAGTTTCTTCCTCCTCAACTATGCTGCGTAAAGTAATGTAGTAGCCCGTAAGATCTGCATCAACGCATTGGTCCTGTTATGGCATCCAGTTCCCCATCTTGTCTGCCACGTTTGTGTTCCTTTCTAAAACACTGCCATTTATTGCTGGGCAGCCGATTCTTGCTAGATTCTTGTCATTCACGGTAGCTATGTTTTGTAATATTGTTGCGAACACTAAATTAGCAAAAACTGAACCATAATTGTTAGGGGAAATACAGGATCGGTTCCTAGGAACTTATGTTCACAATATTTTTGTCATTGATCAATACATAACCTTGTTTTATGTGCTTCTGTGTAAAGACACCTTTTTCAGTTTATTGTTGATTCATTGACATTGAACTCACAGCCAACAGCACTATATATAACTCATCCTGAATAAAGTTCATCTCCGTATGGCATTACAGCCCTCTTGAGATTAGGAACATAAGCAAAATTACCAACATAAAGCACAGAAATGTGGGACATGAGACATTAAATTGACCACAAGAAGGATGTTTGTTACGGTGAGAGCTGAAAGGAGGAGGCCGCTGGAAACACGCACATTGGACAATTCAGATTGTTCGCCATTCTGTTCACTGGGGGAGCGTAATTTTAAAAAAAACAAAAAACAAAAAAACAGTCTCCAAACCAAAATAAACTCCCCACAAAAGTAGAAGAAAAAGAAAACATAAACATTAAAGCTGACTCTCTGGTATGCGTCATAGGAAATCTGTTAAAGGAATAGCAGAAACAGATTTTATCTCTTTATAGAGACAAGCTAAGGCAGCCCTTTTGTACATGTTCTTACGGTGATAACTAGTCCTCAAGTCAGGGCTTGGCAGCACCGCTTGTTATACACGGCTCATTATATATTCGCCTCATAGTTGGCATAGCCACACCTGTGTTTACAAAGTGCCTTTACTAAAGGAAAAAATGAATTTCTCACTATCTTTATGACTCGATGTAAATTTATAACTTGGACTGCTATCTATCCTTCTGGGAAACTGGGTCACAGGGGCACTGTGTTTCTTTGGTTACGTACCAGAGAGATGGCTTCCAGGTTTAGGAAACATGCCTGGCTTATAAAATTGGTAAGAGGCCTATTTAGCCTTTACAAAAATTTACATACCACGCAAAGCTGCAGAGAATGGCTGATCATTACAAGTTTTCTGAAGTAAATGTTCTAAGGAAAATGGCAAGTAGGGGAGGCCTTTGTCTTTTTTCTCTTAGTCATTTGTAATAATTTGTAAGTATTTGTAATAACTGCCTTAGATCATGTCCAGAAATGACTATGAAAATACCACAAGTATTTATTTTGCGGGGGGATACAAGTAAATTTTAGTGTGCAAGCAAATTCGTAACTGGGATCCGTAAATAATGAGGATCACCTGTGTGGGTAATAGTTGTATCCTCTTACGGCACATGTTGCAGTCTCAGCTCATTCCTTTAGCTTCTTTATTAGACTCAGACCATCCCCTCACCATACTTCCCCTCTTGCTTCCTGCCTCTGAGCAGCGTGTGATTAGAAGTGTCTGAGCCATCTTTGGGCACAGTGAGTTTGTTTCCCTTTAGAACCTAACTATCCCTTGAATGAGCCTCTGATATGCCACCTCCAAGGTTTACCTCACAGTCTTGGTGTTTTCTGAAAGTACTTTGGGAAAACTCTGGTCTCAGCTCAGTCTGTAGTTAATTGATATTAACATTAAACTTAACCATATAGCTATTATGGGGTTCAGTTGACCATCATATCATCTCTTCTTCTAGCACTCAGAAAGCTCACATTTTCAACCACCGTTTGTTCAATACTAAGGTGTTGTTTCTATATATTGTTCCAAATAATTTTCCCTGAGACAGTGCCATTAGTTACAGTATCTGTAATGTGGTTTGTTTGTGAATCTGTATCTATCCTCATTGGTTTCCTCAGTGTATTGCTCTGGTTTCAGGCACCTATTAATGCACAGATGTTGGCCCAGAGACAGAGGGAAATCCTGAACCAGCATCTCCGGCAGAGACAAATGCATCAGCAACAGCAAGTTCAGCAACGAACTCTGATGATGAGAGGACAAGGGTTGAACATGACGCCAAGCATGGTGGCTTCTGGTGGGATACCAGCAACTATGAGCAACCCCCGGATTCCTCAGGCCAATACACAGCAGTTTCCATTTCCTCCAAACTACGGTACTGAACTTACATCCCCACCACCTTTCACCAGTTCCTTCCCCCCTGTTGCCCCCAGTCCTGGGTCACAGCTCCTCTCTCTCAGCTCTTTGCATGGCTCCCAGATGACTCTGACTACCCAGGGGATGATAGGAAACCTGGGAGGACAGGTGGGGCCTGCCCAGAGTTCCCAGATCCAGCACAGTACCTTCCTGTCTCTCAGCTCAGGTACCACCTTTTCTCTGAGTGCAGGTCTTTGAGAGTAACCGAAGTAAGTGTGTGTGTGTATAGTGTACTTGTCTGTTGTGTATGTGAGTGTGTATATGTTTATGTCCATTTCTGTTAACAGACATATATTTGAAACCTCTGATCTGACTGAAACAAATCAATAAGTATGTACCAAATATTGAAAGACATATACAAATTTATTACAAACATTCTGCAACTTTCAAAAATTTAAGTCTTTAAAAGATTTACCAAAACTTTGTAATGAGTAGATAATTCTTGAGAAGTGCTATATTACATAACGCCTTTGTTTTCCTCATATTGATTTGTTGTTTAATGTCAGTCTTAAAGAGATCAATTTGTAGTGCATATCATATCAAATTAACTTACTGATAAACGTACTTATATTAACATTACTATTCAAAATTACTCTGCCTCCCTTATGCCAGTTATCTATAACATTCAAGTTTTGTGTTGACTAAATTGAAGATTTCTATTTGTTTAAAGAAACAGGAAGATAATGTGCAGCTTTCATCCTGTGTGAGCCTAGATTTTTCTTTTCTTTCATAGTTAATTTATGTTAATTAAATATGCATGCTTTACTAATCTAGGCAAAGATGCGCTTGACTTAAATTTTCTCTCTTACTATTGCTAATCTCTGGTAGCGTAGTGGTTACGAATTAGGCTGTGAACCACAAGGTCTGCAGTTCGAAACTACCAGCTGTTCCGCGGGAGAAAGATGAGGCTTTCTGCTCCCATAAAGATTTACAGCCTCAGAAACTCTATACAGGGTCGCTATGGGTTGTCACTGACTCAGTGGCACTCAACAACAACAATAAGATAACACTGAAGTGCCACAGAGCCCTTGATGAAGACAAAACATGCTAATCATGAATGTAGTTACTTAACATTTTTAAAATGTATCTATCTGTTGCATCATGGTGGTATGCCACCAAGTCAATTTTGACTCGTAGGAACCTTGGATAGGGGACTCCTGATATGGTGCTGTAGGATTAGCACTGGTCTGTGAACCACGAGGTTGGCAATTCAAACCCAACAGCAGCTCCTTGCACACCCTATACGGACAGGCTCGCTATGAGTCAGAATAGACTCGACGACAATTAACAGCAACAGCATAGGGTGTCCAAGGCTGTAAATCTTCATGGAAGCAGAAAGCTTTATCTTTCTCCATGAGGTGGCTAGCAGATTTGAACTGATGACCTTGCATACCCAACCTATACTGCCATTAAGTGCTTACTGAGACAGTTCCAACTCATAGCGACCCTGTATAGCGTTTCCAGGAGTGACTAGTGAATTTCAGCCTCCAATATTGCTGTTCAAACTGACCTTCCAATCCAGTGTTTATCCTACAGTACCACACAAGTGCAAGGACACCGTGCCTTATCATGATTCATGAAAAATTACTCGAATGTGTTGATTTTATTTAATCATTTATAACCATCGCCATTTGTAATGATATATCTAAATTTAATGTGAAGACTGTGGTTATTTCAAGTCATAAAGAGAAGGAACCTGTACATATTTGAGTGCTTTGTGATGTGAAGAGGGGTATAGGGGTGAGAAAGGAGGCCTGGCGGGGCTCTCAGAAGGGTGGGCGGTTCACCCACCAGCCACTCCACAGAAGAAAGAAGTGGCTGGCCACTTTGGAAGCCCTATGGGCAGTTTTGCTCTGTCCTGTAGGGTCTCTGGGAGTCGAAATTGACTTGCTGGCCATGGGTTTTCATAGGGAAAAGAAAGATACCTGCTTTCTTTAACTATAGCCATGATGCTATGTGGTTTCTAGACACCCCTGGAACTAATATAGAGACTAAAGGTAGGGAGAATTTGTCTTCATGTCTATTATCCCAGCTTAGAGACTTTTGAAAATGTATGTAAAAAGCACATAAAAAAGTGGTTGGAAGTAATTATCCATATGTGTTTGAGCTTTTCTCCCTTATTCTCTATAATAAAACAATCTCCTTTGGATTTTTGCTTTGTTTTTAAGGAATAAGTCAGCAACCTGATCCAGGCTTCACTGGGGCTACAACTCCCCAGAGTCCTCTGATGTCACCCAGAATGGCACACACCCAGAGCCCCATGATACAGCAGTCTCCAGCAAATCCTGCCTACCAGGCCTCCTCAGACATGAATGGGTGGGCGCAGGGGAATATGGGAGGAAACAGGTACCTCCATGTTTTGTTGTGTTGTGTTTTTTATATAAATGATTGCCAGGGAATCTTTGTATAAACCATCTGCCTCTTTTCTATAGTTTTCTTAACTTCTTTGCTCAAGGAAGCAGTATCCATTAAAATGCTAAGTCAGCTGCTAGTTTACTGTTCCTAAGGCAGAAATCATCAGAATTTACAAAAGTGTTGCAAATACAAAGGTTGTTTTGGTGTCTTTTAACGTTGTTCACAGAATACCTTTTCACTGAGAGTAAAACTGGAGGGAAGGAGCTACCTAAGAGGTACCACTCCCCCAGCCTTATGACAGAAGCTACTGTGGAAGGCAGCATCCTAGGAACCATCCTTTATTGTGTATCTATTTTTTAAAAAACAACTGACGAAACAGAAAGCATGTTTGATATAGACATGAAAGTGTAGGGTATGTGCTTCTAGACCTTCATGGTGAAGTTAGGAAAAAGAAGAGTTCAGTTGTCTGCAGCTTCAGGGAGCATTTTCCCTTCTGCTTCAGACAACACCCCTCTCACCATGTAACCCACTATCCACACTAATGTCACCCAGTTCAGACACCTTCATCCTAACATAAACACCAGGGAACCACGTATGGGCTCAACAATGCCAGGTACCATTTGCCACAGAGTGCTAACGTCTTCATCTTTTCATTATGTTACAGCATGTTTTCACAGCAGTCTCCGCCACACTTTGGGCAGCAAGCAAACACCAGCATGTACAATAACAACATGAACATCAATGTATCCCTGGCGACCAACACAAGTGGTATGAACAACATGAACCAGATGACGGGACAGATCAGCATGACCTCAGTGACCTCTGTGCCTACATCAGGGTTGCCCTCCATGGGTCCTGAGCAGGTGAGCACTTGACTTATTTTAACCTGTTAGTGAGAGTAACAGAAATACTCGTCAAGGATGAAATAAACATGAGAGAATTCCTGACTGCTCTAGAATCTTTTAAATTATTTAGTAACTTTTTTCTTGTCAATTGTGTTTTTCTTAAACCAGGAATTTAGCAGTATCTTAAACTATAGCAGAAGGAAAGTGAGACTTTCTGTTCCCTCAGAGATTTAAAGCCCCGAATACCCTATGCAGGATCATATGACTCGGAACCGACTCCCCAGCAGTTACCCAAAAAAAAGAAAACTGAATGACTAAGTCAGGTCATCAAGTCAATGCCAACTCATAGCAACCCTATACAGGATTTCTGAGGCTGTAAATGTTTATAAGTGCAGACAGTTTTGTCTTTCTTGCATCAAGTGGCTGGTGGGTTTGAACTTCTGACCTTGAGGTTAGCAGCCCAGTGCCTAACCCACAGCACCACCAGGGCTCCTTGAATCTGTAAAAAAAGGCTTGGAAAATGTACCTTTTAAAGAAACAAAAGAGTTAAACTTTTTAGAACTGATTTTTTTTCTAAATGCAAAGATGAAAAGCAAAGACCAAATTATCTGCCATCCTGTTCACCTTAAATGATAATGCAAAAACCATTCTTTTTGGTTTTAGTCTTTAGACTATGGATCTCAAGATTTTTTTGTCAACTTTTAAAATATTTTATACTGAATCACACTGAAATGATCATGCCAGTTCCTAAGTACACACTAACTTCACTGGCTAGTAGAGACTCAAAGCATTTGAGATAGTACATAGCCAGCCTGGGATTCAGAATCTGTGCTGGGCTGACCCTGAAGTAAAAATGAAGATTCATAATTTAATTGTATTTACGGATGATCTTATTTTTCAAAGGGCACAAATAGTTTGGAACTCAGCCACTGATGATCAATAATTCATATAAAGTAAGAATGTGGTTTTAAAAAAAAAACAAACACCTAAAACTTAGTTCACATATGGAGAAATTGAGCCACAGAAAGTTTGTGACTTGAAGTGATAGAGAAAAGGAAAGCCTTCTGTGCAGTTTAAGAAATCTTTGCATATACATATATACATATATTTGTGTGTGTGTGAAGTAGTAGTAGAAGTAATAATATGCTCTTCATTTAAACATATAAATTAAAGAAACAACGATTTGTATCTTATTGTTGGAAAACCTATAGGGTTAATGTTGAATTTGCTACAAAATGTGGACCACTAGTGATTCCTACTCTGCTTTCTGGGGAATGTGTACATGGGGTTGTCTGATCAGACCTGGGCCCTTATCCAGTCTCATTCACTCAGAAATTAATTGGTGTGTTTTTAATAATACAGATTGGTTTAAATCTTTTGCCTGGATTGACACATATTCAGTACCAGAGTTGAATTACAAAACCCAAGAAGTACAACTGCAGTGTTTGTCTTTTGACGGAATGATTTCCTTATTCATACTTAAATGTTTATTTTGTAGTTTTGTCAGAAATTACACAAATGCTAATGAGTAGCTCAGAATAGATTCACAAAATTCATTACTGTTTTGGGTATTCACACTTGTTCTAACTAATCAATAATTTGCCTAAGTAGCAAAGTTATCAGAAGACATCAGAGTCCCAAATGTAAGTCTTTGGTAATATAAAACAGCCAAAAAGTGAGCCTACGACTTGTGTGCATGAAAATGTTCCTAGTATTATCTTCTCAGTTGAAGCTGATTTCTGTGCCAAATGCAAATAAATGTAATTTTTCAGGCAGGACTTCTGGTGTGGCGCTGCCAGTTAATGCGGTAAACCGCAACGTCGGTTTGGGCCGTTAAGGCCGGCAGATCCAACTCACCAACTGCTCCTTGGAAACCCTGTACAGGGTCACTATCAGTCGATCCTGACTCGATGGCACTTAACAGCAGCAGCAATATATTTATGAGGAGCACAGTGGGTCCATAGGATAAGCACCGGACTGTGAGCTGTGAGATTGGCGGTTGGAGCCCACCAGTAGCACCTCAGGAGAAAGATGAGGCTTTTTGCTCCCCTAAAGATTTACAGCCTCAGAGACCCTGTACAGGGTTGCTATGAGACAGAACCAACTCCACAGCGTATAACAACAAGAAGTTTATTATGGGAGTCCTGGTGCAGCACCATAAGATGAACACTGGACTGCTAACCATTAAGTTGCCGGTTCAAATCCACCAACTATTCCTTGAAACCCTATACAGGTTCACTGTGAGTCAAAACTGACTCCACAACAATTAACAAAAGCAGTATTTTATGTCTTTATTTTCATCTTCATACCCCAAAACCAAATCCACTGCCATGGAGTTGATTCTAATTCATAGTGACCTGGGTAGGGTTTCCTGGACTGTAAATCATTCTAGAAGCAGACAGACCCATCTTTTTCCCATAGAGTCACTGATGGTGTGAACTGCCAGCCTTGCAATTTGTAGCCCAATGCCTAGCCTATGGCATCACCAGGGCTTAGTAGCTGTCTTTTTGTAGTCACTTTTCCCAGTTCATAGAGTAGAACCAAAAGGAAAATTAATGTCAGGTATCCTTTGGGCATCTGCTGAATATAGCCATTGTTGTGTGTTTTTCCCTCAGGTTAATGATCCTGCTCTGAGGGGAGGCAACCTATTCCCAAACCAACTGCCTGGAATGGAAATGATTAAGCAGGAGGGAGATGCATCACGGGTAAGAACAACAAAGAAATGTGTGAATAACTTGTTGTAAGGAAGCAATATTATCATGGTCAGCCAAAATATTGACCAGCAGTATACTTAGTGCTTAGAGCCCTTGAGCCGTTTGGTGCACAGCCAGGTAAGTGAGTGTGTGAGGTAAAGGGCACAACCTTACCACTAGATCCACTCTCCTTTTGTTCTCTTCTGGGTCAAACTTTTATTTTGGTGAATATGTAACATAAGATTTCAGCCATTTTACATGCATAGTTCATGGACATGGTCAACAATTGCTACTATTTGTTTCCAAATTTTCATCATCTTTAAGAAAACCTCTCAATTACTGAAGCGCTTACCCACCTATGTCCCTCTTAATCCACCCCAGGTCAACACGAATAAATTGTGGCTTCTCTGCATTTGCCTATTCTGAGTATGTCATAGAAATGGAATCACACAATACTTGTCCTTTTGTGACTGATTTGCTTAGCATGCTGTTTTTAAAGTTCATCTCTGCTGTTGCATGTATCTGAACTTCATTTCCTTTTGCTGAGTTTCATACCCCATCATGTATGTACCCCATTTTGTGTTTATCCATTCATCTTTATGGACACTTGGTGGTTTTCACTTTTGTTCTGGTATGAATAAGTACTACATGAACATTCGTGTACAGTTATCTGCATTCCTGTTTTCAGTTCTTTTGGATCTCTAGCTAGTAATTCTAGGTGTAACTATTTTCCACAGCAGACTTGCCATTTTATATTTCCTCTAGTGGCAGATGAAGGAGATTGCTTTCTTTTAAACTATACTCTTTCTCAGTGGAGAAAATGTTGCTCTGAAATTAAATTTCCTTCAAAAAGAATGGGTCTTAGACGGTTTTGTTAATATTAGCATTCAAGTTTAGAAAAGAATAGCACGAATTTGGTCTAGATGTGAATAACTTATCATGTTAATTTTTAAATGTGGTTCCTCTTGTTAAAAAAGAGCCAGTTCTGAAGGCAGAGATGCCGACTGTGGGAGTCCTGTGGATGTTACCTGTCTGTGCAAAGCCATATGGGACGAGGCTCATAATGCACAAATTCACATGAACTCATTTAAACAGTTAGCGTATGGACACAGTAAGCCAAATGGAAAGTGCTGGTGGAGCAGTGGTTGAGCGATTTGAATTCACTCACTGCTCCGCAGAAGAAAGTCTGCTTCCGTAACAATCCGCAGCCTGTCCTGTAAGATCACTGAGTCAGCCACAGGAATATATGCTCAAGCAGACAATGGAATATATTTCTTATTGACCGTCGGTTGATGTTTGAAACACCCTGGCTTTCTGTCATGAAGCGCCCACAGTGGCCTGGAGTTTTTTGAGTTGCCAATCCAGTCCTCCTTCCCACTGAGCTTGGGTGCACAAAGTAGAAGTGGGAATTTCCCAGAGGACTGACAGCATTCATGATCATTAGGGTCCCCTAAAGTGCCAGAGAGCTTAACCTCTGAGCATTTCCTATCTCTGAAAGATACACACACACACCCATGGCCATCACGTTGATTCTGACTCTGGGTGACCTCACAGGTGACAGAGTAGAGCTGAGATCCTTGGGGTTTGCTTGGCTGTAACCCTTACTTCCACAGCACTACTGGGTAGGTTCCAAGTGTTACCCTTTTAGTTAGTAGCCAAGTGCAGACTCTCATTCGTGCCACCTAACGTCACATTACCCTCCCTTTCATCTGCCAAGATGAGATCTCCCTAACTCCCAGCTGCCTTCGGTATGCGCCAGTGTTGGCCTGGGCTCCACAGAGCAGGAAAGGCACTTGGTAGGTCTCTACCTCTTAGAAACCTTGCCTGGGCCAGCCTTCTGCTTCTTTTCTCCCAAGAGACTCAGGACTCTACTGAAGCAGAATACTCAGTGGTCCCATGTTTCACTGTGTTACAGAAACATCTAGCATGTATGGAACATTTTCCACGGGCCGGGCTGGGTGCTCTGCTAAGAGCATTACTTAATTGGTCTCACAGTTACCACCGCCACCCCCACCCCCCCGGCGTATGATTTAACTGTTTTGAGAATGTGAAACTACTTATCCAGGGTCCCACCACACCATTAGGTAAGACCAGGCCGCTGACCGCCAGTCCTACCATCCTTAATGGAACACTGAGCTCTTGTGAGAGTTTTCTCAGGGTTTTGTGCAGATAACAATGGAAAAGCCCAGAAAAGGAATAAATTATTTCCACCAACAGTGCCATTGCCTTGTCTCTCTTCACTTAGATCTGGAAGGAAAGATGTTGACAAATGCTAGAGGAACAGACAGTATATTTTGGCTACATTTTCGGAAGAATCCTGAGACTCTTGGGCCCTGGTTACTAAATCTTAAGAGGGAGGGATCTCTGAAGTAAGGAAAAGAAACACTTGTTGGCCTCTAATATATCAGGGACCATACTAGGTCCTTCAAACATACTTAATCTCCCCAATGTTTTCGACTGAGGCCATAAAGCCTCGGAAAAATTGGTCATTTACCTAGGGTCACAAAGTTCCTAGTGATGGAACTAGGAAACGGTGGCCAAGAGCCGTAGAACTAAGGGAGACTGCGGCAGGATAGAGGGGTAGGCCTGGTCTTCTTTGCCTGTTCGGCAATTTTGCAGTAGCAGTGACCAGGAATGTCTTGCTATCCCCAGCACCTGGCACATAGTAGATGCTCAATTAATTTTTACTAAATTATTGAACACTTTAATGGGGGGGGGGCATAGATAATCAATAAACAAAACCAGTTATTTATTATCACACTAACCTTCACGTAATTCTTGATCACTACAATCCTTCTTGTTGTTGACTGCCGTTAAATCAGTTCCTACTCATAGAGGCCCTGTATAGGGTTTCCAAGGACCACCAACATTACAGTCAGCAGTCCAGTGCTTACCTTACAGTGCCACACCAGGACTTTCACAACGGTTAAGATTCACTAATGACATTGTCAGTGCCTAACAGTCAGAGACTTAACAAGAAATTCCCTGGAGTTAAAACTCCGGTTTATTTTACTTGATTAAGCCATGGAGCACATGCTTCCTACAATCTTGGGAGTTTCTCGGTAGGGGAGTTTATAAGCATGGACTTGTATGGGTGATTTTAAGAAGGGATTAGGGAAGCAGGTACCTCAGTACTCTGTTGAGATGGAGAAACGAGATTGGGCTGCGGTGGCACTGGTAGGAGAGCATCAGCCATCCGAAAGAGAAGACTGACGCTGCGTTGACTGTTCCTCTAGGATCTGTTTGTCTCCCCCTGTTCCATTGGAAATGTGTTTAGGAATGTCACCAGCTGCTCATGTGTATCAAAATCAAGTGTAACTCATGCAATGAAGCCTTTCGATTGACATTAAAACAGTGATGGGCTTTAGAATGGTTTTACCAGAAAGCCAGAGTCTCTCACAACTCTCTCTCTGTCTGTTTTCCTGCAGAAATACTGCTGACACTGATGGTAGCTGGTTGCTTCTTTCTTCAGCTGACCGGGCTCAATTGCTCAAAACACCTACCATTCTGGAGAGCTGCGTTCACTTGTACTGACCCACTGACCTGCCAGCCAGTTCTGCCAGAGCGAGATCCACAGACAGGCCTCGGCTCTGCTCCAGCGTGGAGTCCACACAGCTGTTGCAGGAGAAGTTGCCTCTCCTCTTGACAGTCTGAAGCTCACATCCAGACAGTTGCTCAATCTGTTCACTGCATTCACCTTAGTGCAACTTAGATCTCTCCTGCAAAGTCAATGTTGACAGGCAAACTTCAGACCCATGTCAGATTGAATGTATTTAAATGTATTTAAGGGAAACAACCATGCTCTTATTCTGTTCCTGTTGAGTTCCAGACACTGGTTTCTTGCTTTGTCTTCCCTGGCTGATTAGACTAGTGCAAAAGAGAAAAATTTCATCTGGGAGAAAGAAAATAATTTTTCCACATAGAGACACCTAAGATGTTATATGGGAAAGTTTGCAGACAGGGTGGAAGCAGGTCAGGTCCATGGGCAACGCTGTAAGGGGAGACTAGTAAGTCATGGTTGTATCTTTATAGAAAGAGGGCTGTGAATATTAACAAGTGGTGTTTTCTTTTTCTCCCTCCATTTAAGAAAACCAAACTAGTTCACTTAAATCTGAATCAGGAAGAAATACTTGTCATCTAAATTAAGTTCCCATTAGATTTATTCATGAAGCTTGAATTCACATCTCCTCTCCACATTCCTAGGCCTCCTCGTTCTCCCCTTTCCCATCTCTGCCTTCCCCATCTCTCCCTACTTTCATTCATTTTTTTACAGTAATATACACAACAGAAACCAGGTAAACCTTCTATTTTCTTAAAGGTTTTGCCAGCCACTTAGCAGTTGCTAAAATTGAATTTCTGAAAAATGCATTTACTGACAAGGAGAGAGGAGCAGAGTTAGGACTTGATACCAGTCACGCTAAGAAAACCTGCTTTGAAAGCATGTTTGTTCTGTTCCCCAGCAAGTCTGGCCTACAAAACTGGAGACAGTGATTGTGTGTTCAAATTTACAGCAGATATCACTACAGATTCCACCGCCATCCTGGGTTTTTTGTTTCGTTTTTTAGCAGTGCTAACGAAGCCGAAGTTTTATAAGGTACATAAAATCCAATTTATATATAAACAAGCAATAATTTAAGTTGGACTTAAGTGTTTTAATTGTATGATTTTTGTGAGGTATACATATTGTGGAATTGACTCAAAAATGAGGTACTTCAGTATTAAATTAAATCTCTTCATAGCAATGCCTCCTAAAGGTGTTTTGTAAAGGATATCAATGCCTTGATTAGACCTAATTTGTAGACTTAAGAATTTTTATTTTCTAACCTTGTGATTCTGCTCATAAATCATTTATCTAATCTATATAATATGCAGCCGCTGTAGGAACCAATTCTTGATTTTTATATGTTTATATTCTTTGTTAATGAACCTTAGAAAGACTACATGTTACTAAGCAGGCCACTTTTCTGGTTGTTTTTCTTGCCCACTCTGGTAGGGGAATAATTGTTTCTTAATTGGCATCAGTTTCAGACCATTGCAATACCAAGAAACGGATGACCTTTTATGAGCTGTTTCTCCCCAACTCCTTTCTTACCTAAATTTCCAAATGATGTCTTTTTGATGTCTAAAAAGCAAAGCATTTTATAATGTCTCATTAGCCAGGCTTTTTAGGAACAGAGAGTTTTTCCTAGAAATCTGACTTTTGTTTATTTTGTGGCAGGGTGGAAAATGTATATACTACCCCTATTTATACTTATCTCTCTCTCTCTCTCTGTAAGATCAAATTATGGAAGTATAGAAAGAGATATAACCCAAAGATAAGTAATAAATAGACAGTCTGAAAGTGTTGCTCCATACTAAAGAAATTTTCTGGAAATTTGCATTTCGATATTTTTCCGCTTGAGAGGGATCTCAATACAGGGAGGTGGCCGAGGGACAGCACTTCGTGGTGGCCACCAGTTCACACGTCCCACTCAAAAAGCTCTACTTTCTCAACCAAACCATTGGGTTGCCCGACTGTGATGGAAAAACAAAAACAACAAATGAGCAGATGTTGGCCCGGAACTCCATGAGCTCACTGGTGCGATGAGACTTGAGTTACATACAATTTAACCTGACCAGTTTTTAGTTGACTTTTAAGAAATATGTGAATTAGAATGACTTTACACAGCACAAAAAGAGAACTGGAGTTTTAGCTGGATTTGTTTTGTTTTGCGTTTTAGGTCCCTTTACACTATAACACTGTCCAAAAATATCTTTATTGTTTCTTCATCTGCCCACTGTTTGATCGTCAGTCCCACTTCAGACAGCTCTACAAGCCTGTGGCACTGGCTGTGTAGAATGTGTCATGCTCGTTACTGTTTTGAAGGAAATGAGATAAGTTCCCTTATGGCTCAGATTAGGGAATGGGTTTTGCTTTCCATGGAATTAGGAGAAGAAAAGTAAAAGTAAGTGAAGGAATCCTCTGATCATATTGATCACTGTAGAAGCAAAAGCCAAATCAATGCCCTTCATTATCAGTATTTCTCATGCTGTACACAATAAATTTGTTAGACTGAGTACTTGGTTTCTGTTTAATAGAACAAATAATCAGTGTTTTACTTATATTACTAAATGTGAAAAATGCATAATGTGAAAGAATACATACATTAACTTGGTTGTAAAACTCATTTAAGTGTTCATGTAATGTGGTAAGTTTTAAAAAGTGAAGTGAGCTGTTTTACTACAATGAATTCGTTTGACTCAAAGATTAAAATGCCGCCCCTTCCCCCACGTGTATCTCTTAATGGCCTGTAATAACTGAAAGCAATGTTTTTGCAGTTTATATGATGCAATTTTTAATCTGTGTTTAAAAATGGAGTTCACATGGGCTTAACACATGAAATGGGTGGCACAGATCCACTTGCAGAACCCAAAGATACACAATCAATTTTGAAATGCAACTTAAGCCATTAATTGTTGGTGTGAATTTACAATTTTCTAGTATTTGTATGGTAGTATGCTGCCTAAGAGCAAAGCATCCTCTGCACAAAAGAAAATTACTGTAGTAGCTTCAATTTTAATTAGAATTTCCTCCCTGGTGTTTCTTTATAGACTACAACGAAATCTTTTCAGTTTCTTACTACAGGTAAAAGCTGTGTGCAAGAACCTCAAAATGCTAAAATCTAGCATAATGCCTTAGATCTGTTTTTAAGTCTTGTATATTCCTACATAGCTGTCCAATGTATTATATTTGTATAGTGAATTGTGTACAATTTTGGAATAAGTGCATCATCACTTACCCTTCATATTGTTGAATAGTGATGATGATACAGACATTTCTTCAACAATTAACTGTCTTTTTTTTTTTTTTTCTTTCGTCATTTGTGGGTTTTATTTGTACAGTTCCTCATGAAGTTGCATCTGAGATGTGTGTATATGAAAAGATTATACAAGGGTAAAATTAAGCAATATATTAACTATGGTTCTTCAGGAGAAAGCTTACAGTGTTTCAGGTTGTGATTTATTTTCAAAATGGAGTTGACTCTGACATCACTTTGTTCACCTGCATTGATGTTTGTATTTCTAGTGTGAGCAGTTTATGCAAAGGTAGATATATTCAGAGACATTTTAAATACATTTATGCAAGTTAATATTGCTTTGCTGATGCTATTTGCTTATTTGATGTTAAATAATGCTATTGTAAATAAAGAATTCTGTTGTTATTGCATCATTTAATAAATTTTAATGCCTTCGGGTTTTACATGGCCCTAGAGATTTTTTTTAAATACCACTTTATTTTGTTGTTGTGGAGAATACACACAGTAAACATGCACCAACTCAACAGTTTCTACAACCATTCTCACCCTAATACTGTTCCTCTCCCACTAACATAAATTCACTCTCCCTTAAGGTTCCTATCTAATCTCCCAAATTCCTGTTGTCAGTTTGATCTAATAGAGAATTCTTAAGAGAGCAAAATGCTCAAGGCAGACATCCTTTTCTTGGAAACTAAACTAGTGTTTCCTTTTAAGAAATCTTCAAGGGATATTTCTGGTTTAAGGTGTGAAGACTATCTCAGAACAGTAATTTCAGGATTCATCCAATCTTCATGGCTCCAGAAAGTCTGGGGTCTGTGAAAACTTGAAATTCTGTACTATTATTTTCCCCCTTTTGAACAGGTTTCTTCTATGGACTCTGAACAAACCGCTCAGTAATGATGTTGTTGTTAAGTGCCGTCGAGTCAATTCCGACCCATAGCAACCCTGTATCGTGTTTCCAAGGAGCCACTGGTGAGCTTGAACCGCTGACCTTGCGATTCAAATGACTTTGCAGTCTGGTGCATTAACCCACAGCACCACGGTGGTAGCCAGGGACTATCCAATTCTGGTCTCATGGTAAAAGAGGGACTCAACCACACTTTCCATATTCTCTTCCTGTTCCTGACTCCCTTCTCTATCATTTCATCAAACACTTCCACCTCCCATCACTGAATAGCCAAAACCATTAGTGGCAGTAATGTGGGCTTCCTGACTACTTATGTGGACTGGCTTATAAATAATTCACATTACTATCAATAACAGTTTAGTAAATTGGTTTATTAATATTTAGTAGTTGATAAACAGTGCAAACATAGCACATAATACTCATGTCTTAAGCCATAAGAACTGTTAGTAAATACAATTCCAAAAACAAATGAGGGAAAAACCAATGTCAATGGCTATGAGCGGATTAAGGGGGAAGGGGCGGAAACAATAAAATTTCAGGAGTCCTGGTGGCATATTAGAATATTTACGATACAAATTATGTTTCTATTGAATCATGTTACTTTAGAGATTACAATGTACATTCTTGACATCTCATAGTCCACTGAGAGCTCATATTTGCCACTTAAGGCAAAATGTAAGAATTATGCAATCATATTAGCCCTCCATCCTTAATGCTATGGCTATCATATGCATTGCATCTATATACAATTTGTTGTTGTTAAGTGTCATCGAGTCAGGCCAGACTCTTAGCAACCCTGTATAGGGTTTCCAAGGAGCAGCAGATGGATTTGAACCACCAATCTC